GGCTCATCAGCGACGGCCACGTCCTGCAGTATCTTATTGCTCCACACGAGCCAACCAACCTATATAATCTCAGGGTAGTGTTCGCCATACTTAGCTCTGGACTCTTCTGTCTTATCATCGTTGCTACCTCGAGACCTGTCCTCTTGATCTACCTGACTCTTTGGCTCTGGACCTGATCGCTGCCACCAGCGTCACCCTCGCCAATCTCATCAGCCTCTACTACGCGAGGTCTTGTTCGATACCATTTGAGGACCTCCAATATAACCTATCCCTTGCCATTCCGATAGGCACTGTCACAGGCACTGTGCTCGACACCCACTCGCCGTACCGGTCCTCTTAGGAGACATCCACATAACCTGGTGCGAGTTAAGCCATATAATTTATCAGGAAGTATTCCCTCTCTTAAGATTCCTTTTATTCCGCTCTCTTTCTTTTACCTTCTTTATCTCATTTTCACGAAGCTCTTCCAAGCGACGGTCATCGCTCACGTGCTCGTCCAGCATCCCGCGAGAGACCTGGAAGCACCCTCTTTAAATTGATCCTGACGCGCGAAAGCACTTCTCCTTGGTATCGCAGCTGATTTTCGTTCATCCTCTCCTCGGCTGATTTGTCTTCGTCTGGGGAGTCGCTCCCGCAGCATCCAGTTGGGCTCCATGGCGCCTATCATCGAGTGATGAATCGCACGTATCGTCTGTGTGCTGACATCCGCCGCGTCAGGGTGTCTACTCACCCTCGTTGGACATTAGTGACGTTAGCCGTGAGACTACTCCATCAAGCGGTCCAGTCGTTTCCTAACTTGTGAGACTCGACGTGGACCTTGCTCCGGAGGATCCTCTCATCCCCAGGGAAAGCAGCGCCTGGTTTTATTTACCGAAAATAACGTCAGGTCGTTATATAAAGACTCTTCCATAAATCCAAGCTATGACACCCTGGAATACGAATGTTCAATAAACTCAATGGCAGGATATATCGATTTACCAATAAAATTAATAATCATACCTGGCTGCATATGCTGGCACTCCCGGTTGGGTTAGGCTAGCTTCGAGTTTCTATGACGGGACAGTAAATAAGGGCGCCGAGTGCAAACACGAGACCAGAAGAAGACACGGGCATTAGGAGAGGAAAGATCTGCGCAGATTCTGAGAATGCATATAATTAAGCATGCACCGTAGCCTGGTGACGCTCGAGGGTATCGTGCATGGATAGAAACGCATACCTGACCATCCTCCAGTCTTCAATCTCATCCTCCTCCACGTCCTCCTTCTCCTCCTGCTCCTACTCCTTCACCACCTCCGCCATCACCTGCATGCTTCACAGTCCTTTACTATACTGAGTCTCACCCCGTCTTTCTCTTCGTCTTCGTCTTCCTCCACAGCATCGCGTCCTCCTGGTGCTCTCCCTTTGGGTCCTCCTCCGTGATCTATGTATCAGCTTGTGCCCGCCGAACCGGCAACGTGTCTGTCCCCCCATGCTTACTTTATTATCGAGGTTCAAATGAGAATTTATGTAGACATAAACGCTCGTGTCAGCAGCATGCCGCGTAGGATTGGGTACGCCGCTGAGGATGCATCTATCACCCTCTACCTGGGTTCATTCGAACGTTACCAGCCTGGACCCACGAAACGAATTCGTTTGGTCATCCTGTTCCTTATTTTCTATTCCCTCATACGCCACGTTGCTACGTATACTTAGGCACGTACGTACTGCTGTGCTATCAAGCCTGTAATAAAAGAAGTAATATACTTGTTGGTACAACAGCAAGGTATTCTTTCTTTTAATAGGTTAATTAGCGTTTAAGGCTCTATTAAATAAGCAAGCCACCTCTTGCTTAATTATTGAATCTACTTTACCGACTTGTCAAAGTTCTTATTGATAAATTCATTGGTGGAATGACAAGTACTTGTTTTCAGAAACTCAAGAAAATATAGTCGGTATGTTACTTGAGTATTTTTACTCCATTTTTTGGCTTTATTTTTAATTCTGCTTCAGTCCCTTTTTCGTTTTGAACGCCTTATGTACTTGGCGTGGTATGCAACTTCGAACGGGATAAAATTGCGAGGAATTCATCCTATGAACTTCGTGCTCGTTTCCGTTAGTCCGATGTGTGTGAGATGAATGGACGCAGTTCCATTTCTCATTGGCCCTTATCAAACTTCGAGGATGCGTGACCTCGACGTTTACCTGGAATCGTGGTAATCGTTAACGTCAGTTTCGTGACACTTAATAAATGTACACATTTTAAGGACTTATGTACATCTCATAGATACCAATGGAGTGGAAATTTTGAGTCTCTCGCAAGATCTGAAAAAGTCATGTAACATTAAAATTAAAAGAGAAGTTTTCCACGTATATTGTCGGTAAGTTAGGAATCTTTTTTATGACATTTAAACAAATGAAAAGCAGATTGACGCGACGAGGAGCGAAAAAGGACGAAAAAGAATGGAAATAATGATGATTTATCCTACGTCTTTTTCGATCAGCCACAATTCGGAATTCACCAAGTGGATCGACTCCGCGGCGTTTAGGTAGATTAACGCGGAAGTCCCCGTCACCACAAATCATTATTAGCATATTATCGGGGACACTTATCAGGGCGCAACGCGAAGTCTACCCTCTCAAATAAGAGTCGGTATAAATCACGGATTGTCTCCTCGGCATGTTAATAATTCATTCGTTAACAGGCATATAATTACACTGTGCAAAGAGACCTGATCAAATATTATAGTCCTGTACAGATATACATATATATACACGGCATACCATATAACAGCAGAGGGTCCCATTCCTCGAAGATTCAGTAGGTACGATCCTAATTCCTGATAAGTCAGTATCAATTCATGGATTTTTTTTCTGGATACATAATGGGCTGGTATCTATCATTTTTCATTTGCTTTATCTATGTTTTCTTCTTTCTTTCGTCTTTTTTTTTTGTTTAAGCATATATACCATAAGCCATCATCCTTCATCATGTAAAAACTGCGCTCGTCGCATAGGGAGCCACCTGTAACACGACGTTAATGCGTATCATCGAGAAACAAGAAGAGGAACAACCCCTATCGCGCATCCGAAAATTAATCGGCATGGGCGCAGCCGATAACAAATGGCGTTCGCTCCAAACAGCCAGTATATTTTACTTAACACTCCCGGCGCCTGTTATTTCACGAGCATTCTACCTGTCCAATGGCGCAATTTACTCATAAACTTGATCATGACGCTCGCGTTACCCCGAGACAAATGCGACTGGATCCTCTAAAAAATTACCTTGCCCTTTGAAATTGTCCTTTTAATTGAAATGGACCTGCCTGGTTCTTCTCAATTCTCCGAAGACATTTTGTGTTGTAGATGTGCACCTGTAGATAGTCTATCTGATGATTCAATACCGACATTAAAGATGATGATTGGGTTGCATAACTGTAGGCGCAACAACGACACATGTCAGCTCTTGTTTTTTTTATTCTCTTGAGATATTGTGGACATATTCTTTTGTATCATACGGCATAACTTACGAAAAACGAATATACTAAAATCTGGCTAGATTTGGCGTCACGTGAGAATGGGTGCCTGGTCATCCGTAGATCGAGTACCGACCATAATGACAACTTTACAAAAGCTCCGAGAGATGGTGCAGAATTCATCAAGTGATCGACTGAGAACAGCTTTTTCAGATTAACGAAGTAAGAACTTGCTTGAACTCACAGGTGACAACATTGTCGACGAAGCATCGGTATATCAGATTTGCGCTGTACGGATCTTGAGAAAATGCCTAGAACACTATTTATGCCGTTCAACGATTATGGCGGTAGCTGTTTGTGCTATCAGCCATCGGCAACATATAGAAAGTCATCTTGGAAATAAGATATTAGTGACTCTCAGTTACCTTCAGAACTTAGTACCATGTTATTGCTTGGCTTGCTCTTTTATTTTAAGTTTAAAACCGATAAAAGATATAATATTAATACATTTCGTGACGTATCAAAGTACAATGACGTTTTGCTAATTTTTCATTCTTTAACAATGCATGTAGCATTCTTACGATATTTCTCTCTCTCTCTCTCTCTCTCTCTTTCTCTCTCTCTCTCTCTCTCT